AAATTAGTTAGCATAAATCAGTTAAATGACGAAAAATTAGGTGTCTATTTACTTGTGACTACTCAGTGTACATACAGGGAACTTTGTGGATTTCCCAAAGAACCAAATTTTTTGTCAGTGTGTTATCCTTTGCCCACCAACGTGTTTCACCAATGGTTTGTAAGCGGTGCTGATTGTTTTTTCACTTGTCTAATCCCATACATTCCTTCTTTTATAGGACTCCATAAAAACATCTGCAATTCCATTTAACAGAGAGAAGAGTGAAGTATCAGGAAAAGGCAATTGAGTTACATCACTAATTACAATATTTAATATATGACGACAACATCAAATATGAATTTGTCCTGGTGACTCACTGTTTAGCCAGGTTGGAAAGCCATTGTAAACTCCTTGCATATTAGCTGCTCCATCTGTTGCATTGGCAATACATTCATTTATGTCTAAGTTATGAGCCTTTAGCACGTTTTTCAGAAGTTCAAGTAAACCTTTTCCTGTAGAGTTAGTACAATTCACTAGTGCTAGCAGCTTTTCCTGAATGTCTTTTTGTTCACATACCGAATGACAACAGAAATTGGTCTTTCACTGAAATATCGTGTTGTGTCTAGATGTACTGAAAACATACCAGCTTTCCTTACTTCATCAGCTATGGGTCTCTTTATTAATGATGAAATAACCGTTGTGACATTGTTCACTATCGTTTTGGATATCAATGTTAAAGAACTACCTAGGCGTTTACTTCGAGACTTATGCACCATCTGACTTTTTTTTACTACTTTCTCTAAATGCTTCATCAATAGCGGATCATATTTATTTAGTAAAATGAGCAATTCTAGAAAATTTCTATGATCTATCAGTGAATCATCGAGTATATAGGCAGCATATCCTATTCATATGACTAAGTTAGCCCTCGTTTACCAATCAATTTCACAACTTCAACAATTCTTTCCATCACCTGCATTATTTCTAATTTATTATCTTCTCATTTTGAATTGTAAACAGTAGTTGTTCAATGTCTTTGTGGTTGGAACTAAGAATGTGAGCTTCTGCGCAATAATAGTGGTGTTTGCTGATTTCATGTTCATTAATCCTTTGGTGTATATGCCTCCAGTTTTTCATGCCCTCCACAAACGAATTGCTGTCATGTTCTTTACTATATGCAAGACACACTGTACAGTAG